CCTGATGGATTCATGTTCATCATGAACAAGTCAAACTGAAACAAGCTTCTGTGTAAGAGAGTATCTTCTGGGAAATCTGGAATCACCATATCAATCACAATCACCTTGCCGTTTGACGGTAGTGATTGATAACAGTTTCGGAGTATCTTCACGCAATGCTCATCATCCCAGCTATGGAGAATCCACTGTTGTAATTGTAACAAAATAAACACAAGAAATCTAAAATGTTAGCTTTTTAGAGTAATATTCTGTTAGAGACTTAAGGAAGCTTTCAAAAACTGACCTTCATGAAAATGGCTTCTCCTTTAGGAATAATGCTTGTAAACATGTCTCCAGCAACATTCTCAATGCCTACTGGCATATTTGATGAAGTGTTAATAACAGATGGCAAATCAAAGTTAATAGCTTTGATAGTGTGAGGATTCTTGGTGATGATTTTACTGAGAATAGAGCCATCTCCACCACCAACATCTACCAATGATTCCACACCATCAAAACCCTTGTACTTATTCACAAATTCTTCCATGAAAACATCATTGAAACCTCTCATGGAGCTTTGAAACACCTCTCTGAATCTTGCATCTCTGCCCACCAACTCGACTGCGGTCGAACCATGTGTCTTGTTGAATGGAAGACCTCCTTCTAGAACAGAATCTTTAAGGTTGTACCTTTACACGGTTAAAAAGTACAAAATCATAACCAATAACACAAAGAGATAATGTTTCAGACAAAAGAGTTAAGGATGTTTTAAAATGATATACCAAATATCAACCACGATCTTGTCCTGAAACAACTTCACCAATGGAGCCAACGAGCCACCTCCGTCTTGATTCTTGGTGGTGAAGTACTTGGCAACAGGAGCTAAGCCGTAGACCGCACGTAACTCACCATGGTCATTGGAAACAGAGCACGTGAGTATGGAATAGCTAGCCAAACAACGAAGAATCCGATTGACCAAGCTTGAATCATGATGCTGTTGTGTTTGAGTAGACAAGAGAGACACGATCTGAGAAACAGAGAGTGAAGAAGAAGGACCAGATTCGGATAAAATGTCGAAGAGACCAAGATCTATGGCTGTCTTCAATACCATGGGAAGAACAGAGGAGCTCGATAAGATCATTGCGTACAAGGGAAGGTTTTGTTCTTCCATTGCTTCTCGAATCCGAACCAAGAAACAAAGGTTTTTGAGTATTCTAATCAAAATTGTAACTGTTTCGTTTCTTTTGACTATTCAGCTTTCAATCATGACCAAGCAAACGGCTTCGAGAAGAGACAGTGAAATCGGATTATGGGCCTGAGACCCAATGGGCTTTTGGATTCAGACCGTTGGGCTTGACTGGGCTTGGCTAGGGTGAGTCGCGGAGCAGGGGATTATTTATTTATTCATCGTCGTCACTGAGATTGAAGAAAACTGTGGAAAGAAAGGGCTTTTTGGTTTCTCGCTGCGTTACG